TGCTGAAAGAAGAAACCGTACTTTGCTTGATATGGTGAGAAGCATGATAAAGGAGAAGAAGCTTCCTCAGAAGCTCTGAGGAGAAGCTGTTGCCACTGCAACGTATGTACTCAACAGATGTCCTACGAAGAAGTTGAAGGAAATAGTTCCAATACAGAATTGGACTGGAGATAAGCAAAGTGTTAGTCATCTGAAGGTGTTTGGTTCTGTTTGCTATAAACATGTTCCAGAAGGCAGAAGATAGAAGCTGGATGATAGAAGCAAAGTGATGATTCTGATAGGGTACCACAGTACAGGTGCATACAAGCTCTATTGTTCAGAAACCAATAAAATTGAATTCAGCAGAGATGTGATTGTGAAGGAATCAGAAGTTTGGAATTGGGATAAGTCTCAATCTGATTCTGATGTTAGAACTTCTGAAGAAAGGTCAGAGTTAAGAATTTCTGAAGTTGAAGTAAACTCTGACGTTGATTCTGACTCTGATAGTGATTCTGACTCTAGAGAAGACTCAGAAGATGAAGGTGACTCTGATGGTCCAGACTCTGATGGTAATCCAGATTCTGGTGGAAATTCAGACTCTGAAGATGGCCAAGACTCTGAAAATATGCCAGATCTTGAAGATGGTCAAAGCTCTAGAGGAAGTCAACCATCTGAAGCTGGAAACTCTGAAGCTCAAGACTCTGAACAAGTTCAGAGACCACAAAGAATCAGAAGCGTTCCTAGAAGATTTGCAGAATTTGACATGCTGCAAGACACTGAAGTAGACTCTGAAGGAGAAGTTATTCAGTGTGCCATGTTAGTAGACTCTGAACCTATAAGTACATAGGAGGCTCTTAAGCAGAAGCTCTGGCTGAAGGCCATGAAAGAAGAACTTGATGCTATAGAGAGAAACAAGACTTGGAAGCTGACAGAACTTCCAAGAGACAAGAAAGCCATCAGCGTCAGATGGGTTTTCAAGCAGAAGTTAAAGCCAGATGGCTCAATTGGCAAACATAAAGCAAGGTTGGTAGCCAGAGGATTTCTACAAAAACCTGGGTGGATTACTATGAAGTGTTTGCACCTATAGCAAGACATGAAACAATCAGAATTGTGATTGCAATAGCTGCTAACAGGAATTGGCCTCTGATGCATTTAGATGTAAAATCTGCATTTCTGAACGATCCATTAGAAGAAGAAGTCTACGTGTCACAACCTCCTGGATTTGTGAAAAAGAATCAGGAAGGGATGGTGTACAGATTATACAAAACTCTATATGGATTGAAACAAGCACCCAGAGCTTGGAATCAGAAGATTGATTCATTTTTCAAGAAGCAAGGCTTTCAGAAATGTGAGATGGAGTACGGTGTCTATGTTCAGCATACTTCTGAAGGCAATATGACTCTGGTATGTTTATATGTTGATGATATACTGCTGACTGGAAGTTCTGAACAGGAGGTAGCCAAGTTCAAGAAGGTTCTAATGAATGAATTTGAAATGACTGATCTAGGCAAAATGACATACTTTCTAGGGATGGAGTTCAGATATTCTGAGAAAGGTATCATTTTGCATCAGCTCAAGTATGAATTAGAACTTCTGAAGAGATTTGATCTGAAGAATTGTAAGATGGCTGTCACACCTTCTGATACAAATCAGAAACTGGATTCAGACTCTGAAGAAAAGGATGTGGACGCTACAACCTTCAAACAGTTGGTTGGTTCTCTGAGGTATATGTGCAATACCAGACCTGATATTTGCTACTTTGTTGGGATGGTTAGTAGGTTCATGAGTAAACCTAAGTGGTCCCATTACCAAGCTGCTGTCAGGATTCTGAGGTATATCAAAGGAACTCTGAAGTATGGAGTGTTATTTCCCTCTGGAGGAAATAATGAGTCAGAACTTCTGAGTTATTCAGACTCTGATTGGTGTGGAGACAGAGTTGACAGAAGAAGTACATCTGGGTACTTGTTCAAATTTCTGGGAGGTTCCATTTCTTGGTGTTCCAAGAAGCAACCTGTTGTGGCGTTGTCAACCTGTGAAGCTGAATACATTGCAGGTGCTGTTACTGCATACCAAGCTGTGTGGATTCTGAATCTGTTGCAGGATCTGAAGATTAAAGTAGACAAACCTCTGAAGTTGATGATTGACAACAAGTCTGCAATCAATCTTGCCAGAAACCCAGTGTTGCATGGGAGAAGCAAGCATATTGAGACCAAGTATCATTTTCTGAGACATCAAGTTCAGAGTGGAGTGTTAGAAGCTGTACACTGCAGCACTCAGAAGCAGTTGGTAGATGTTCTGACGAAAGCTATCAAGACTGATCAATTTCTCAGACTAAGGGATGGAATTGGTGTTACAAGTTTTGATGAAATATGAATTAAGGGATCGTATTAGAATATTAATAGTAATTCATATTTATTTAGTTGTACTATTTTCTTAGCCCCTAAGTTTGTTAGAGGGTATTTTAGTATTTTATCTTATTCTAGTAACCCTAGTTTTAGCTTATAAATAGGGTGACAATCATTGTAACTTTTATCATGTTTTGTAGCCGTTATTCTTAATAGAATATTTCCTTTGTTCATCATTTATTCACCTTTGCACCAACAATCCGTTCCTCCGTCTTTACCATTTCTACACCACTCTCTTCCCCATCACCACACCTAAATAACACTTGACTTTCAACCACCATCCAATACCACATAAACATAACAACACCTCCTCTTCACCACGTTTGATACCACTACATTTTATTCATCAATATCATACCCTCACCTCGCCTATTTTGACACCACCACTGCACTTTGTCACCTTGAACTCCACAATCGCCGTCAAAAAAAAAAAAGGTACACGCACAAAAAGAAGAGAGGAAAGCTTGTTTTTATGCTTTTACTGTAACTACTTCATGTTTTGTTTCTTTAGTCTATATAGTTAAAAATAATAAAAATTATTTGTAGTTAGTCCTTTTAGCTTTTGCTTTTATTTTATTTTAGTTTTAATAATTTTTATTTTTATTTTTTCTTTGATTTTAATGTGTAGAAAATACCAAAATATATTTTAATCTTTTGTTTTATTAAGTTTTGTGACATAAAAGATTGCTTTAATTATTTTATTTTTTTGTAACATTGAAAAATATTTTAATTATTTTATTTTTAATACTTTTACTTTATTAGTTATTTAATATATTAAAAATATAAAAAAAATTGTTTTAGTTTTTAATTTAAAAAAATATTGCAAATAATTAGATTGTGGCATATTGTTGATTTTAATTTCTATACACATATTTACCTTAGTTTGTTTTGGATTTTATATGTAAATGTCATTAGTCTGAAAATTTCATGAATATATACTTTCTGTTCTAGATTCTTATGTATATATGTTGTTAGTTTCGGTTGAGTTCTATAGATATAACACATTTTGTCATTAGTCATATATATATATATATATATATATATATATATATATATATATATATATATATATATATATATATATATATATATATATATATATATATATATATATATATATATATATATATATATATATGCATGTTAATATATTGTACATTTTCTTGTTTTCTAGATTTTATAGTCATATAGTATATACCTTTATATTTTAATTTCTAAGTTTTATGATTACATATTATTATATATACCTTATATTTAATAAACATATGCATGTTTAGAATTCCATTATGCCATCTTATTACTTTGAAAATAATATCGTTGTTTTTGTTTTGTAAAAAAAATTTATATTTGTTTATTCGAATCTTTTTAGTTTATTTTATTCTATTATTTGTTTTATTTGTGTAAGATTTAACTATATAATAGAAATTAGGATTAGAGTCACCAAACTCTGTGTAGGTTGTTCTGCCACGGACATCTACTTTTCCATTTAACCTAGCCTTAGGTTTAGAGTCGCTGCACTCTATGTAGGTGTCTCACTGCAGACCTTTACTTTCCCTTTGGAATCTTGACCATAGTCAAAAGTTCCTCACCCCTATTGGGGGGAATTACAAACGCTCTGATTTCTTGTTGAGAATACGTAGGCACAAGATGCGATTTCTTGGCGAGCTCACTAACCACTAACTTCCTATTACCTTTCTCAATTTAGGATTTGAGTCGCCGTACTCACATTTAGCGTCCCGCCGTGGACATCCTTTACCCTTTATCCTAACCTTAGGATCTGAGTCGCCGTACTCATGTTTAGCGTCCCGCCGTGGACATTCTCTACCATAACAATCTCAACGTAGATTCAGAAGTCGCCGCACTCCATGTAAGTACTTCCCTATGAATGCTTACATCCCCTTTGAACATTGACCACAGTCAAGAGTTCATTACCCTTTTTAAGGGGAACTATGGTTGCTCTGATTCCATTCCCGTCAGGATACGTAGGCACGAGATGCAATGTCTTGGCGACCAAACTTTGTATATACTTTAGATCTTTACCCTAGCACTTTCCCTTTAGCAAGCAAACTTTAGCAAACACAAATACTAACAAGAGGTTCCTGTAGAGTACTACAAATGTTTAGGATGTGAAATACCTACCCTAGGCATAACCAACCCCCGAACCTTTAGATCTCTTTGCTTAGCTTTAAGCCTTACTTTTTTGCTTTGCATTTTTATAGGTTTTTCTTTCTTTAAACCTTTCCTTTTTGGATAAATTAAAGTCTGGTTGTGAATTTAAGAATTAAAGATTCAAGTTAATTCAATAGCTTAATATCTGATTCTCACTACAACACCAGCCATTCGAGAATCAAGAGGTGGATGTGGAACATACTGCCTGTATCCAAACTGACGCATACATCTGTCAGGCAAGTATGGAACAATAGTGTCACCCCACCTCAGACACCCCCTATAGAGACATAACTCATCAAACTGACGCCATACTCTATGATTCTCGAATGGGCGCCAAATGACATTGGCAGGTGTCAGCTCGTCCAGAATAGGCCGCAAGTCCTTCAAGGAACCTTGCTTATAGGACCATCTCATCGCTCGAGGGAGACCCACATTATTAGCTGGTATTCAGTTCTCTCCTCTTTTCTCAAGTGTTGGAAAATACTCATGAATCCAGCACTGTTACAAAATTAATATGGTTACTAAATTTAAAATAATTAATTATAACATAATAAACTAGATAAATAAAATTAATATACTAGATAAAATTAATTAAAACAAAATATACTAAATTAAAATAAATACCTGTAGGAGAGTCGGATAACCACCAAGCTGCTTACAGCTGAACATGGAAGCATCCCCGAGATATCTGTAAAGAGTAACCAACGCAGCTGTTGCCCAACTGTATCCTGATAAGCCATCCAAGTCTATAAACAGTGAGAGGTATCGTGCCTCGACAAGTGTAAACGTCTTGTCCGCAAAAATAGTGGAACCCACTAACATTAGCAAATAAGCTCTAGTGGCATAATCCCATCGAGATGCAGCTCTGTGCTCTACGAACCGATCATATAACCACTCCAGCTTATAGTAGGAACCCCTGCACTCACGGACTTGTTGCTGTGTTATTCTCTGTGACACTCCTAAATAATCAACAACCCACTCAACAGCAAGTGCTTCACTGATATCTTGAGGGCTCCAGAAGACTCCCCTGATGAGCAAGTGAAGCAGGCAAGAAACGTCATCTAGAGTAATCGTCATCTCACCAAACAGCATGTGAAATGAAGATGTCTCTAGATGCCACCTCTCTGCAAAAGCGGAAACTAGGTTTGTGTCTATCTTTGTTAAACTGGTTCTCTGGAGTGAAGCTAGACCAGACCTAGATATCCAGCTATCCATCTCTCTGGGTAGCTGTAGTGGAACCCTTTGAGTCAACTTCAACCCATGTCCCGCCACCTTTAACTCTTTCTTCGACCCTCTCTCATGAAAAAAATTAAAAGTAAAAATATTATAAAATTCAATATTAAAAATTCAAATTTTATTCAATATTAAATAATTTTCGTTTACTTACCTCACCGAACCATATACGGTATGCAACATGTTGTTCGTACTTAACTAACAGAGATGTATCATACGGTCCTCCTGGATATCCAACCGGCTCGGATGCTGATGCAGATGCATCAAAATGCTCTTCTTCAGCCATTCTCGATGACTCGTCTCATCCTAGTCTACGAGGAATCCTACCATCTCTGCCTCGTGTGCGTACCACTGGAAAAATAAATAAATATAATTAAAAAATAAAAAATAAATAAATAAATATAATTAGAAATTAAAAACTAAAAAAAACAATGAACCGGAAGTCTTCAAGAAAGAGTTCCGGAGAAGAAACGCAAAATTTTGTGAACCGGAAATCTTCAGGAAAGAGTTCCGGTGAATAAACTCAAAATTTTGTGAACCGGAAGTATTCAGGAAAGAGTTCCGGTAAAGAAACAAAAACAAAATACAAACCGGAAGACTTACTCTTAGAGTTTCGATATGTATTGAAAAACAAATGTGTTCCGGAAGAGTTGGTAGAAGAGTTCCGGTTTGTAAATGGATGAAGAGCTCTCCAAAAGTCTTGAAATGGAAATAAGTGGAAATGAAGTGAAACTGAAAAAATGTTAAAATTATAGATATTTAAATAAGGGTATTTTGGTCCAATATTTTTTAGTGTAGAGGTGTGGGTATAAGGGTAGGGGTATGGGGTAAAATCTTCAAGACATGATGGTTCATGGACTCAAATTTCCAGCCAATTCGCAAGTACTTGTACCCAATATAATACCAAAGGATCTATTGGGCCTACATCATAAATCAGCAATAACAACAGACCTCAGGGAACATATCGTCAAATCATACCTAACCAAGGTGTCCAAATTAGATCCTAGAAAATATATACACCAGCTACCAGAACATTTTTAATTTTCCTTTTTAATTGGTTCAATTGGCCCATGTTGTTTTGTTATTTTAACCACCCTCTTACTCATTTACCACCAAATGTCCATTCGCACCCCCTCTTCTTTTGCGTTTTTTTAGTTTTCAATAAAAAGTTTTAATTATTTTGTAGTTAGTTCTTTAAGATTTTCAATAAGAAGTTTTAATTATTTTTTAGTTATTTCTTTAAGGTTTTCAATAAAAGGTTTTAATTTTTTTAGTTAGTGATTTTCGTTAAAAAAACGTTACTAAACAATTTGATTTTGGTTCATTAAATCACTCCTGATTTTATTTTATACCATTTTCTTCATTTTATTTCGATCTAGTCTTGAATTTTTATTTTAGTTTCATTTTGGGTCGATGACGAGACCTCCGAAAATCATTACTAGTCAAACTATTGATAAATAATGATGGATCTGAGACCACTCACTTTTTCTCTCCTCATTTCTTCTTCATTTTTTATTTTATTTTATTTTTTGATCTATGAAGTCTTTTGATTCGCGAACGTTGGTTTTCGAGGTTTATAACCTTCATTATTTCAGTCAATATTATAAGTCGAGCTACGACGGTTTAGCGTTACATTTTGCCCTGATTCAATTCATAACAAACTAACGACTAACTTTTACTTTCTGTCAAATATACACTGCTTTATTTTTCAACCAATATTATCCTGATTATATTATCCTGTTTCTACTGTCATATATCTTGTATATATTCGTATTCATTTCTTCTCTTATTCAAATTCTTTCAAAACACTTAATAACTATCGAAACCATAAAATCCTAAATTGGTGGACTGTTGTTTGTTTGTCCGAGTGACAGATCTTTGGACTTTGTCATAAACCCTAGCTTGGAGTTGTGTTCAACTTTCGCTCAAGGCTTAGTTTAAGACACATTGCACACTCACGGCTTTCTCTTGGGCTACTTGACAATGAGGCCTTTTATTTCGTGCAATCCCGTGTAACTTGCATGTATCCCTCTTCCATTCCGATGTACGCTTTCGTATTTCTTTGATTGTGGTTTATTTTCTAGGAGCACCCCTAGGGACTAGCGTAGATTAAACTATTTTCAAACGAATTCTTGATTCTTCATCAAGCCATCTTCAAACACCCCTCTTTAAGTCGAGTGCTCGTCCGCCTTCGCCACCAACCTATTGCACACACTATCACACTTCCTTGTGGCTTCGATATTAAGAGCACCCCCAGGGACTAGTAGCGTTTCTCACTATTTAACCCTTGATTCGTCATCAAGCCGGTTTCGTTTCAATCAGAACCCTCGACTCATCGTCGAGCCATTTTTCAAACCCACTTCCATTCCCCCAGTTTTTCACGCATATTATTTGTCGAACCCTTGATCCAACGTCAAGTGTATTTTCTCAACAAACCGTTAAACCAATTCACCACCATTTCTTTTCAAATGTTTATCTATTTCTTTTGTCTCTGTAAACCTAAAAACCTTGGTTTCATACCAAGTGCATTTTCAAACTCTTTTCCTAATAAACTTGGATGGTTGTGGAGTGGTTAGGCGTAGGCCTTCTCCTATCCCAAGTGCTTGACATTACCTTTAGGGTTCACTGTCGTAAAACACTTACCATTCAAGATCAAAATATCATTAATAAAGAGAATGAAGTTCTCTTTATATTAAACTAAAGAGAGATGATCGAGTGCAGACTTCTTCCTCTCCGAGTGTTAGGATATTCACTGTAGGGTGTATGGTCTCGAAACTCGTCTTTCAATATGAAGACGTGACTGTATTCTCCACACCATTTTCACAATAAATCTTTTTGAGATAAAGAATTGGGTACTACCCGTAAGGGGTTACTATCCGAGGACCTATTTCACCCCTAAAAACAACTTTCACAAATCAAACGTGACATATTGCCTCGATGGCGAAAACTATCTCTTTTCAAAAAGGATATGTTACGTCCGTTCTACCTTAAACAGATAACGCCTAAGACTCCACAAGCGAGCTGCAATACACCTAACTGCTACAATGCGCACGTTAGCATCATCCATCAAAAACACTAGTTAACCGTAGGCCGAACTACGGCTGCTCTGATTTCTCATGCCTGTTGAGAATACATAGGCATAGGATTGCGATGATCCTAGCGAGCAATTTTCTTTCTTTTCCACCTTTAGTCCCCCGTTCTCCTCAGAGAAGGACATGCTACGTCCGTTCTACTGCAAACAGGTAACGCCTAAGGCTCCACAAGCGAGCTGCAATACACCTAACTGCTAGAATACACCTTACTGCTTTTTTTCTTATTCTTTACTTCTTTTAATAAAGATACGTAGGCATAAGGGCCCCAATCCTTTTCAGACACCCTTCCGTCTATTATCCGTAGTTTCTCGAACTATGTTGACTCTAACTTTCTCATGGCTGTTGAGAATAAGTAGGCATAGGACCGTGAGATCCTACCGAGTCTCTTTTCCCTGTTTCCAACGTTTCTCTCTCCCCTTGGAACATTCTTTTTAGCAATATCTTTTAGAAAATACCTTCACATGTAGACAAACAAATGGTTCCCATCGAGTACGATGGATGCGAGGGGTGTTAATACCTTCCCTTCGCATAACCGGCTTCCGAACCCTTTCTCTTGATTGCGAGACCATCTTATCCATTCCTTTCTTAGGGTTTTCTCGATGTTTTCCCTTCCCCTTATGGGATAAATAAAGTTCGATGGCGACTCTTCTGTTCTTTCATTTCCACCTCTCCTTCGTCGCATTTTCAAGTAGCGACATGGGGATTCTATAAAAATCCTTCGTCGGCAGTCGAGACCCAAGGCCCAGGGGGTGGTTCCGACTGAAGGTTAGAAAATACTTAGAAGGGGGGTTGAATAAGTATATAGAAAAACTTATGGCAATAAAAACTCAAAGATTTTTATCCTGGTTCGTTGAACTCAACTACTCCATGTCGCTACTGCGAAAATCGGCGCCGGCTGAACAGAAGAGTCGCCACCGTGCGTTATTTATCCCAAAGGAGGGAAAGGAAACGCTCAGAGTAAACCTAACGCAAAGACGGGAAAGGAATGGTCATCGCAACCAAATCCTGGATTCGGGAGTCGGTTACGCAAGGGGAAGGTATTAGCACCCCTCACGTCCGTCGTACTCGACGGGATCCACGCTTGTTTTCTAGTACGGATTGTTATTCTATCTACTCTACAGGTCAAGGGTTAAAAGAAAATAAAATGACTCGGCAAAGTATCGCACTTTCTGCCTACGTATTCCCGTCTGGAACGAGAAATCAGAGTCAACGTAGTTCGCCTACCTACAGGAAAGGAGGGGAAGGTTGCTCGCTAGGATACGACATCCTATGCCTACGTACTTTCATACAGCATGAAAGATCTGAGCAAACGTAGTTCGGGCTACGGAAGACACATATTTGTCTGACTATTTTTTATCTTTTTGAAAAGGTTTTCTCCTGATTACGGGTCCAAGCGGACAAAAATGACACTTTGATGTTTGTTTTCAGTCTTTTACGCAAGAACTGTTTTTCATGGTGTTTGCAATCTCTGACGCACTAGAGACTATGACTTGAGAGTGACTACGTCGTATGTCACCCTAGGGGTAACACACTAAGCAATCAGATTACTGAAGAGTGACCCTCCAGCAATCCTCTCTCAAATAGCTTAAGGCTCGTAGCGTACGACGTCGATCATCCTTATTACTGTGTTTTGGATTGTTTTAAGATGAGAAAAGAAATTCTGAAAAACCTAGGGTTTGAAATGGGAATCAAAACTACCCTAATGTTGTCATGCATGAGTTAGAACCTAATGTCTGTCATAATTTCCTCCTGCACAGAGGAAATCAGAGATCCTAGGGGATAAACAACAACAGAAACAGATATATACAGTAAACAGTAAAATGCATGAGATGCAGCAATACAAGCGAGGCAAGGGAGTCCCACTCAACCTCGACCCTGGGGAAAACAATAGGCAAAGTGAAACAGCTTCACTTCAAACCTAAGGTGCAAGCTGCACAAGCCAACAAACAATACAGAAAAAAGAAAATAAAAGCCAACACCAGCTCTGACAGCAACACCAGCTCCTACAGTAACAGCTCTGACAGCTACAGCCCTGACAACTACAGTTGATCAACAGTAACAAGGTTGACAGTAACAACTTCTCAAAGCAAGACCCCTTTCTTTACTATCCAATGATCTTCAAGCTTTAGATAAGCTCTTATCTCCAAAAATCTCCAAGCTCTGGCAAGCAATGAACCCCAACCAGTATACAGCT